GAATTCATCACGGACTGGTTCAAAACACTGTTTCTGCTGCGATATTAATAACAGACGAAAAACATTTAACCACAAAGAAGAAGTTGTGCTCGTGTGTGATGTGCTGTTCTATCATCCATGAAGCTATCGAGGAGGCGTCAGTCGTAATTAAACTCTGTAGGTGAGACTTAGAAATACAACTTGATGTGAAAAAACACACACAAGCTGCATATGGACCAAGCCCCGGGTCTCCAAGATGTCTGCCCCTGGTATTCAAGATGTCTGCCCCCGGTCTCCAAGATGTCTGGTCCTGGTCTCCAAGATGTCTGGTCCTGGTCTCCAAGATGTCTGGTCCTGGGTCCCCAAGTTGTCTGCCTCTGATCTCCAAGATGTCTGGTCCTGGTCTCCAAGATGTCTACTCCAGGTCTCCAAGATGTCTGGTCCTGGTCTCCAAGATGTCTGGTCCTGGTCTCCAAGATGTCTGCCCCTGGTCTCCAAGATGTCTGGTCCTGGTCTCCAAGATGTCTGCTCCTGGTCTCCAAGATGTCTGCTCCTGGTCTCCAAGATGTCTGCCCCTGGTCTCCAAGATGTCTACTCCAGGTCTCCAAGATGTCTGGTTCTGGTCTCCAAGATGTCTGCCCCTGGTCTCCAAGATGTCTGCCCCTGAGCTCCAAGATGTTTGCCCCTGATCTCCTAGATGCCCACTCCAGGTCTCCAAGATGTCTGGTCCTGGTATCCAAGATTTCTGCCCATTCAGATGGGCAGAGCACAGCCAATGGGCTGTGCTCATTGGCTCATGCTTGCACCATGGACATCCCAAAGATTAGCAGAACTGACCAACCCTGGTTCTCCCGATCTTGTTGTCTATTAAGTTTGCAGTGATTCTACTTCAGCAGGACCAGAACAAGGCGTGAGCGTTCTGACCAATCAGATTTGACTGTGGATGACAGCGCCTGCTTATTAGAGAGACGAGAATGAGCCAAGTTTGCGGCCCTAAAGATGGATGTAAAAAAAAAAAAAAAGGTAGGCTCTTACTGATGTATACATCAGTAAGAGCCAGAGTGAGTTGGAGCAAACATCACCTTGAGCACTTCCCTATCGGGCTTCATTGAGCTAGCAGGTTTAGCATTGTCCGATGAGGCGACGATGACGATGAGTGTGTTCTCAGTTCTCTGTCGAAGGGGAAAAGGGTGTGAGCTGCTGAGGTGTTTCTGAAGCGTCTCTGATAAATGATTCATGATGTGGAGCCTCTCGCATCTGCTGCCTCCAGCTGCACATCTGTCCTCATCAGTCAGAGTGTGAAGGAGACCGGCTCGCATTGGGCGGAGTCGGTCCAGCTATATACACTCTATGATCTACCCACGTGAGGGGGGACAATTTCACAATGTCATCGAGCCAACTTCAGCGCTGCTATACACATGCCACACATGATTGTAAAACTGACGTGTCTGGTCTCTCTTTCTGGTCTTTCTCTCAACAACAACAACTTATTCTTGTATAGCCCTAAATCACAACAGCAGTCATCTCAGAGGACTTAACAAAACCATTGAAATCACCAACACAGATCAGAGAATCAACAGTTAAGACACAAAATATAAACATATGTATTGGTCCATAGGGAGAGACCAATGTCCATGAATGTTGATAAATGTTCATACATGTTGTTGAATGTTAAAGTGTCCTGGATCATCACCACAGTCCTTCTAGTTGGACACTAACAGATCCTCCTGATATCGGCAAGGAAAATGTGCTCATATATGGGACGGACGGACCCTCTTGGTCTCTCTCTCAGGTCTCTCTCCAGTCTCAGTCTGTTTTCTGTCGGGTCTCTCTCTTTGCTATCTCCATGCTCTCTCTAGTCTCTCTCTCTAGTCTCTCTGGCGTCTCTCTTTGTTCTTTCTGGTATCTGTCTGATGCCTCTCTCTCTCTCTGATATCTGTTCGGTGTCTCTCTCTGGTCTCTCTAGTATCTCTCTGTGTTCTCTCTTTCTGGTCTCTCTCTGGTCTCTCTTTCTCTCTGGTGCTCTCTTTGGTCTCTCTGGTATCTGTCGGGTGTCTCTCTCTGGTCTCCCTCTAGTATCTCTCTGTGTTCTCTCTCTCCGTTCTCTCTCTCTCTCTGGTATCTCTCTTCGTTCTCTCTCTCTGGTCTCTCTCTCTTTGGTCTCTCTGGGTGTCTCTCTCTGGTCCTGTCTACTCGCACCGTGACTTTAGAAGACTTAGAAGTGGCTAGTCCCTGATATCAGGGTGGATGGAGCTAAAAACAACTGCAGGTCTGTTGGAACACAGTTAAACCATCCTCTCTGAATGTTTTTTCTCATCGCTCGCCCCTCTCCCTTTTCCTACGCCCTCTCCTCTCCTCCCTCCCTCTCCGCCTCTCCCCCAGTGTCCGTCTCTGACCGCTGAGGCTGATGTGTTTTCGGACACTATTCACAGAGAGCTGCTGCCGACCGGAGCGGGTCAAGTCCAGACGACGACCAATTACAGCCGCCGTTTGTCTAACCTTTTCACCGTGCAGAGAGGACTCTATCGTTCTGGAGTGGGAGGGTTTGGAGGGAGATAAAGGGGGCTTAAAGCTTGGGTGCGCAACTTTCAGTCCTCAATTGAACTCCGTCTCCATGACACAACATAGAGACAACTCTCCAGTCTCCCTCTCTCTCAGTTCTCTCTCCAGTCTCCCTCTGTTTTCTGTCGGGTCTCTCTCTTTGCTATTTCCATGCTCTCTCTCTACGGTTTCTCTCTCTAGTCTCTCTCTCTGGTCTCTCTGGCGTCTCTCTTTGTTCTCTCTGGTATCAGTCTGATGTCTCTCTGGTTTTTCTATCTGGTCTCTTTGGTTTCTCTCTGGTCTCTTTTTTGTATCTCTCTGGTCTCTCACTTGTCTTTGTCAATTGAACTGAAAAGGGTTCCAACCAAAACGAAACCAAAAAACAAATACATGCAAAAACTAGTGATAGAAGCTGTTTTAGAGCCTGGAACTAGTGACATAGATTGTAGTGGCTTATAAGTTACGTACCTGAGCTTTTTAAGGCCCTTAATTCCACACTGTGAGACTTTCCAGCTGTTATCCAGTCATTTCTTTGTTCCTAATAATCCGAGTTTTGTATCATTTGCATAAAGCCCATTATGGCTAAATACGAGTCTTTTGCCGGAGTGCGCGTCCGGATGCGCTCGTGTCATTAGTGGCAGAATCTCTGCGGCTTAACGAGGCGTGAAATAGTTTTCTCTTATGAAGTGAGTGAGCGGCGGAGCTGACGCGGAGATTCCCCTTAACCACCAGCGCGTCTGCAGCAAAATGTTTGCAAAGGATGATAACGAGTGTCCGTCTGCATGTGCGCCTAAAGAGGAGGCAACAGTGACAATCTGAAGGCCCAGAGAGGGAGAAGAGACAGGGACCAGAGAGACCAGAGAGGAACAAGAGAGAGACCAGAGAGAGAACCCCGAGAGGGACTAGCGCATGTGCGCGTAACATTATTTGGGTGTATGTACACTGGCCGTGCGCGCAGGTCCGTGGCTTCTGATGCTGTCCCTGTGTAGTCTATGAAGAAGTGTAGAGGACAGTACGGGCCAGAGGACTGATGTAGAGAAGCACAAATCACATGCATGTTTGTCTTCATGGTCTCTGTGCGCTGGTTTGGCCAGATGAGAGACTTTATGAAAGAAAAAAAAAACGATGTCTAGAATCACTGTAAAACCTGCCAGTCCTTCTGCTAATGTTTAGATAAAAGTGCTGTGTGTATGTAGATGTGATCTAAAGCCAAGGGTCACTATAAAAATCATGTTTCACATGTGTTTTCAATGGGAGACATTGAAATCCATCCTAAATTAGGCGCAGCCTCGCGTCATACGTCCGTCATACGCGCGTATAACGCTAGTAGTGTAAATATCATCATTGGTTAACATGGAAAAATGTTACGCGCACGTGCTGTAACGCCTCTTGTGTAAATTAGCAGTTAGACAGTTTTACCTCGATAAATCTGTGAAGAGACCAAGTTGTTCTAATCCTTTGCTGAATATTACACTAAATATGAGGCAAGGTAAAAGAAAAGTATGGCACCTGAATATGAACCACACCAGCAACATAAAAAGACCATTCTGTCTACACATAAGCCTCACCTGAATATTAGCCGGTGGTTTTAATGTTGCAGATATCAACATCAAACGCACCGATGACTCGTGGTAGTAGAAGTAGTAGTACTACTATTAACAGTAGCATAAGTATACAAATACAAATACCAAAAACAGGTATATAAAGCAGGTATTTATACTAAAAAGGCTTAAATGTCTGGGGGGAAATGTAGCCAAATACTACAGTATCACTTCAAATATACTTATAAGTATTCAAATTGAAACTAGTATCAATACTAACAATTTGTACAATATAGCCACTCAAAACAGCAGGAGACCAGAGAGAGACCAGGAAGAAAGACCAGAAGAGAGAGCGAGACCATGAGAGCGACCAGAGAGAAAGACAAGAGAGGGAGAACAGAAAGAGAGACCAAAGAAAGAGAGACCAGATAGAGACAAGAGAGAGAGCCCTGAGAGAGGAAAGGGCAATGCAAGTTTAAGGCAAGGAATAACAAAGAATCACAGTACATTAAAAAGAGTGAAAAAGCAATCCCTAAGTTCGTACAATATACGTGAAATTGCCTTTTGAAAATTGTAGCCACTAAACAGCTTAAATTCATATATTTCTGAAAAGTACTGATACTAAACCTTGTATCAATACACCACATTTAGTATAATGTATCCACTTAAAACACCTCAAACGCACAAAAACCACATATTTGAGCCTGCTGGAGGCTGGAGAGTTGCTCGTATGTGTGCAGTGACTGGCCGCCTGTTCATTTGCCAAATTAGGTAGAATTCTGTTCCCACCACGGGCTAAAGTCACTGTAGAAATATCGAGGCTTCTCCCGGAGACGTCCCCGGTGCGCCTCTGTCCGCACGCGGTCTGCACGTCCCCGCATCCAGCCCACCGTAACCTTCGCATTTGGCAGATTTTTGTGGCTGATTTTTGGCGCAGATATGGCGCGAGGAAAGCACTCACCGCTTCGCCCCGTCGCTCCCTGCTCTCGCGTCGGATCCACACTGGTTCTCCTCCGCGTGAGAAGAGCGGCGGACGCCCGGGGGGAAGGAAGGGAAGGCGAGGTGAGGCTGGTGGATGTGGTGGCCGCCGGAGTGTGAGTGTATTCCGGGCGTCTGTTCGTGGTTTTGGAGGCTGGTGATGCTGATGCTGGAGCTGGAGTCGGAGCTGGAGTCGGAGCTGGAGTCGGAGGAGCGGGGGGGAGGAGGGGGGTGCGTGCGCGTGCGTGTGCAGCGGTGCGTGCGCGCGTTTCCACCTGTCAGTGTGCACGGTCCCAGCAGAGAAGGGTGAGGAGGGAGGGGGGGTTTGTATCAGTCTGTGGGGAGAAAGAGGAGTCTGCTCCGCGAGAGTGGATCAAACGCAGAGAGAATGCTGCTGTTTCAGGGGTTTGCAAACGGCGGGGCGCGGACGAACTCCGACGCAAAAATAGGGAGGGCCTGGGCGGTAGTAATAGTAGTAGCAGCAGCAGTTAATAGTAGAAGTAGTAGTAAGAAGTAGTCGTAGTCGCAGCAGTAGTAGTAGCAGTAGTATAGCAGCAGCAGTATAGCAGAAGCAGCAGTAGTAGTGCCAGAAGTAACAGCAGTAGTAGCAGCAGTAGTTGCAGGAGTAGCAGTAACAGCAGTATTAGCAGTAGTAGTTGCAGTAGCAGAAGTAGTAGCAGAAGTAGTAGCTCTAATCCTGTGGAGCATGTTTGAGTTAGCTCTAAACCTGATTGAAGTGACATTGAAATATTTTTTCAGCTACCAACGTGTCAATAGACCATAATATTGTTCTTGAAAATAGAAGAAGCTGCTGCTGTGCGTGTGTCTGTGTGCGTGTGTTTGTGTGTGTGTGTGTCAGTCTCTCTCTCTTTGTGTGTGTGTATGTGTGTCTGTGTGTGTTAATATTAGAGTTTTATTTCTGTACGGAGCTTTGGGACATCTGCCTCGACAGTTAAGCCGCAAGACTGAACCAGGAATCAACATTTATATGTAGTTTGTCTTCATCTTATTAGAAGATATGATATCTTTAGTGTAAGAAAGAGCCCTGTATGTATTCAGAATACTCTTTCTGAGCAATTCTATTTCTTTACAGTTACGTCTAGTATTTAGAATACAATTACTTTCTGAAAATTGCAGGATATGTTTTAAGGTTAAAAAAAGACAAAACATTGGTTGTTAACTGACAGCTGTTGAAGCACTTTGAATTGTTTAACAACAAATGATAAAACAATTCGGGCGTTCTGCTCTCCCAAAATTCCATCCGATGGGCGGGGGAGCGACTGAATTTTGCATTGCATTATGGGTAACACTTGCCTTCGCAACTTCCGGTTCGAAGACAAGTGCCCAGCGCATTTTCTCTAAATGGTTGAGTGTTTGTCATTTTCTGTTGAATCCGGTTTTATCATGGGCTTCAAGTGTGCCGCCGCTAATTGTCGATCTAACAGCAATAAAAAACTGAGTCGATATCCGTGAATGTCAAGCGTGCGGTGGGTCAAGTGGCCGAAAACACAGCCGTTTTCGTTCACTCTGCTCACTGTCATCTTCTTCTAAATCTTCATAAACACCATCCGCTCGTTGAACTAGCAACAACAATTCCTCCTTTCGTTTTCCCACACTGCAAATACCCTTAAGCTTCAACCTTTCACGCAATTCAGGCACTGTCAATCGTTTGTTGTTTTCGTGAGCCATATTCGCCATTGTATGAAATCAACCGGAAGTGAACTGGGCAACAAACGGTGTCATTTTTTGATCACAGCGCCGCTCAGTGGATTAAATTTTGGGAGAGCAGAACGCCCGAATTACAGAACATGTTTTATTTATTTAAACATTCATTGAGGTTTTGTTTTTAAATATTTGTATTAATAAACATCCATTAACTATAAATACAAATAATACAGCATGCGTCAGGCTCATGCCATCTAACCATGGATCTATTATATTAACTGTAGGGTATTACTAGCTTGTAGCTGAATAACTCATGTGCTCGGGGGATTCTCGTGGTACTGCAGACTAGACCAGACTAAATTCACGTGGGCTACCCAGAAAAATTTCCCCACAGGACTCAATGCATATTAAAACAGCTCAACCTCAGTTGACAGAGAAACCTACAGCTTTCATAAAGGTCGGATTTTGTGCATTTTAGTATCCCTTGTCATCCTGAACTTTTTTTCTTCTTAAATCCTTCGGTTTTGTTTAAATCCACACTTTAGTGCCACAAACTCTGCTCGTCTGGCTCTCGCTCTAACTCCCGCTCTGATGAACTGCTCTGATTGGTCAGAGCGCGGCCGAGCCCCTCTGTATTTGGCGCAACGCATTATGGGAGATCATCCACTGCGCAGAACCGGGAGGACCAGACGATGCCCAAATACAGGCGAGTTTCCCATAGATCTTTGCGAGTTCCAGGCGACTTCCGCTAATCTTTCAGCCCCCATGCCGTCACAAAGCGCCACTGAGCCCAACCATTCATTTGAATAGGGCGCCATCTTGGATGGGCTTGCATCTAACGCATGCGCAGAGGATACAACCTCCGCTCCGAATGCAACTTATGCCGGCTAACGCCTGCGCAAAAAGGGTTTTTTCACCATTTTCCTGCGGGAGGGGCTACTCACAGCCATTTTCAAAAAGTCCATGATGATCACACATAAATTTAAACAGAGTAAATAGGCGTCAGTACATATTTATATTTACTCTATGGTTTCTACACCCAGACATACAGTATGTACAGCATGTGTCTATGTGTGTGTGTTTGTGTGTGTCTCTCTCTGTCTGTATGTGTGTGTGTATAATGTGTTTGTGCGTGTTTAGAGATTTCATGACACTTTGAGGCAACTGTTAAAGTTCTACTCATCATTCCAACAATATGCGCAAGGCAGTCCTTTTCCACTGCATGTTTTGGTATCTCAAGGTTGAAGCTACTGGCACCGAGGTGATAGCTGATTGGAGGACTCCATTCCTCCGGACTGTATAATATCACTTGCATTCTGTAACAGCTTTGTTCGTGCTGTCTCTATACCATCGACAATAAAACATGTCTTCTGTGTGAATTAAATACACAATTCCAGACTTTTTAATCTTCTTCATGTGTTTGCCCTCATACACAGCAGAAGGACACTATCTTTTGTCCTCTTTAACAGCTGCTGCTCATCCCGATCATCTCTTATTCCACTTTCTTTCACATTCTGAAACATGCAATAATACACTGAAGATAGCCACGTGTTTAAACCTGAACACACACTTTAGTTTCTTCTGCAAAGATCATTTCTGCCTTTTCAAACAGAGAGCTCGGTGTGAGGATGGAAGAGCTAACTTCGGATTGTACGAGTTATTGATCCAATCAGCTGAGTGGACTTTTACTGAGGGCTCTGATGATGTCATTAATAACACTGTCCCCATAAAACGAAACATGTCTCTTTACGTCCTCATAATTAAACTTTGTGTATAAGTACGAGAGGGAGATTGCTGCGTAATGAGCAGATCTTTGTCTGAGAAGGTTTCAAATAAGGAAGCATATCCCAACTGCCTGATCTAGCGTTCTGGATTCAAAAAGAGCAAAGTGTGAAAAAAGAGAGTCTGATGAAGTGCCTCAGCCTGAAACGTTACACCTTAAATATTGTAAAAGACATTTGGGAGCAACATAGCTGTGCAGATCTTTCTCTCCACTGCAAAAAGTAACAAAAAAATGGACAAACAAATCAGTTCAGTTGTCAAAGCCAGCTTCTTCCAGCTGAGACTGTTGACAAAAGTTAAACGCTATCTCCCACCAAATGACCTTGAGAAGGTTGTCCACGCCCTCATATCCACACGGCTGGACTATTGTAACTCACTGTACCATGGCATTGACCAGTCCTCAGTCCACAGACTCTGGAACGCTCTCCCTTATTGTATCAGAGCTGCCCCCTCTGTAGAGAGTTTTAAATCGCAGCTAAAGACACATTTCTTTGCTTTGGCTTTTTAACACAAGCAATATTGAAACATTTATGATAGTGTCCTGCATTTTATTTTTTGCTGCATCTTATTTGTGTGTTGTATTTTACAATGTCTGGAAAGCACTTTGTGACAGTCCTGTCTGTTTTTTAAAAAGTGCTATATAAATAAACTTGACCTTGACCTTGACCCTTGACCTTAATTTGAACACAAATTGACTGCCTTAAACAATATTTGCCAATGGGAGAAGCAAAATGATCTTGTTGCAAGACATGTCTCCCTTGAAATGAGAAAATAAAGCAACAGTTCTTTAATTAAGTCTGAATGGCTTGTTCATCCATCCATCCATTTTCTTCTCCTTAATCGATTTCTGGGAGTCGCAGTCAGAGCTGCACCCAGTACACAGAGCACCAGCCCCGCAGGTGGTGAGTCCACAGGAACATTGATCTTTCAGTGGGGGTTTCAGGCAAAGTGTCTTGCCCATGGACACCACGACAGCAGACATCAAGTCATGAAGTAGGTCTTGTGGTAGTTGCTACCCCACAACCTTCAGGCCCAAAGGCCAATGCTCTACCAACTGAGCCACTGTCAGTTGGCTTGTCCCATTGGCAAATCTTGGTTTAGGAAAATACTTAAATTAAGAAGAAAACCACTATCAAAGCATTTATTACCTCATATGTCCTAAATGCACGGGGAGACGTCATTTCCTTTTTGTCTATGCTATCGCTATGGCTTTGTGGTGAGTTGAAGTGACGGTTTTTAGTTATTAGATTGATACATTCAGCTGTGAGACTGACCCAAAAGTGTTGATGTGCTTTCTCTCTGAGGAATAGCTTTGATTGTGGCCACTCAGAGAGATTAGGAAACTTTATGAAAGCGCAATGACAGCACAATCAAAAAGCACTGATGTGTTCCTAATATGCCCAGCATCCTCACAGTTTAATTCCTGTTTGAGCATTATTCAGTGAAACTCAAGCTGGTCCCCGCGCACTGGATGTCAAATGTTGTTATAACTAAAACATGGAAGTGGTGCGTGCATAGAGCCCATTGAAAACAAAAAGTGTCTTTACTCAGATCTTTGTCTAACACAGCAGCTGGAAGAGCAGTGCAACTATTCTCAAATTCTACTTCAGAACTATGGTTTGTCAGCGACACTTCCG